CCATGATAAAAACCTAAGTTGTTCAATTTGTGGTAGAAAATTTTCATCAGTGAATTCTTTGTTTGAGCATATAAGTTGCCATCCTGAGAAGTGTAACAGTTCATCGTCTTATGTCACTCAAGAAGTCGAGGATCAGATCGAATCGGTATTTACACCAGGGATTGATTTAAGAGAGTCGTTAAAGGGCTGGTCTGTGACTTCCAGGCGAAGCCGGAGGGCTGTTTCTTCAAGTTCGGACGAGCAGTTACGTGATGGTTTTCAAGATCTCATGGGCCTCATGGCGCAAGCTAATGGAGATTCTGATGCTCATGAACAAAGATTTGAAGAATTTAAAGGAAAAAATCAGGTTTCTGAATCAGAGAAGCGAAAAATTAAGGGATACGAATTTGGATACAGCAAGGATTATCCGATGAAAAAGCCAAGAATTAATCAACGAGGATTCTCCGATGTCGGAAACATAGGTGACATAACGCCCGAAGTTATGGCGAATGAAAGCAAAGGCAAGGCAGTGTTGGATTGCAGAGGGAGGCCTGAGGAGTACGATAGAAAGAATAGCTCAGACTACGAATCTGCTAGCAAGATTATCAGAAAACAGCTCGATAACCAGAATTTTCAGAGTGTGAAGAGGAAGATGATCACCAATAAGGAGAGGATGGAGAAGATGGCGCCAGAAGATTTGGAACCGCTACAAGGTGTTTGTCCAGAGGTCTCTCAGAAGCGAAAAATTACGGCATACCCACTTGGATACAAGAAGGATTGTGCTTTGAGAAAGCCTAGAATTTTTCAACGAGGATTCGCTGGAAGTTATGGCACCATGCCGGAAGTTATGGCAGCGAAGGAAAGCAAAGGCAAGAATGTGCTGGATTGCGACCAGTTCCACTCAGACAAGGATTCTGATTGCAAAAACAATAACAACAATTTTCAGAGTTTGAAGGGGAAGATGATGATGAATGAGGAGAGGATGGAGAAGATGGCGCCGGAGGATTTGAAACCGGTACAAGGTGTTTGTCCGGTGATCGCTGAGAAGCGAGCCGAGACGACTGCAATGACATTGGCTAAATACAGATGTAGCGATTGTGACAAATGCTTTGAATCTTTCCAAGGGCTGGGAGGTCATAGGGCGTCCGGACACAACTCATCACCCCAGATTCACATCTACAACGCCAATGATGAATCTTCATTTACATCTTCATTCAATGAAGTTAATGCCAATCACATCACCAAAGTTAATGGAATAGCTAGCTCAAAGGTGGTGGAGAATATGGCGCTGGAGGATTTGGGACCGGTACAAGGTGTTTGTCCGGAGATCTCTGAGAAGCTAACCTTCATACGCAACAAAATACCCAGGATTCACATCTGCAAAGCCATTGAGGAACCTTCACTTACAGCTTCTCTAAGTGAAGATTATGGCAATTCCATCACCAAAGTTGATGCAATAGGTATCTCAAAGGTGGTGGAGAAGACAGCACCGGAGGATTTGGGACCTGTAGAAGGTGTTTTTCCTGAGGTCTCTAAGAAGCCAATCATCAGACGCAACCAAATACCCTGGATCTGCAACGCCATTGATGAACCTTCACTTACAGCCTCTGTCAATCAAGATTATGCCAATCCCTTCACCGAAGTTAATGGAATAGCAAGCTCAAAGGTGCTGGAGAAGAGGGCGACTGATGATTTGGGACTAATACAAGGTGTTCATCCGGAGGTCTCTAAGGAGCCAGCCGAGACGACAGCAAACACACTGGCTGGTCATGGGGCGTCCAGACGCAAAAGATTACCCAAGATTCACATCTTCAACGCCATTGAACCTTCACTCACAGCTTCTGTTAATGAAGATTATGCCAATCCCTTCACAAAAGTTAATGGAATAGCAAGCTCAAAGGTGTTGGATAACCCAAATCCATGCAATGTGCGTAGCAAGAATTTTTTGAAAAGTCAGGCTCTTGGGAGTCAAAGAGAGTCCAAGCACAACAAATTACCAAGCTCAAAGGTAGGGGAGAACGCATATCAGTGCAAAGTTTGTTGTAGGATTTTTCCGAGCGGTAAGATTCTTGGGGATCACATGAACTCCCACCACCGCAAGGGTCCAGCTGAAGCTCCATCGAGCCAAGTCCTATTAGCCGGTGAAGCAAGTCGGACAGGTGGTAGAATTGTAGATTTTGATCTGAATGAGCCAGCTTTCATGGAAGATGAGGATGGTATTGAGCCTGAACATGGATCTTCCTTTTAGAACTCTGTTGCAGCTAAAACATTGCTATTGGACCATATCAACTTCTCCATCATTAAATCGGCAAATTAGCTTAAATTTTTAGAGTTCAGCAAGAGTACATTTGCTTTTCATATTGGGGTGATCCCTTTATCATTCATACCAAAGACCCATTGGTTCCTTTTATTATTCATACGTTATTATGTGGATTAGGAATGATATCTTTACTTTATGGAAATTCTTCTTGTCAAATGGATTTTTTGATATTGCATGGATCTTATCTATCCAAACTTATTTGAAATAAATGCAGTGTCGTGAGCCATATATTATCCATAGTTGAAGATGAAATACCAAGAAACCATCATGAAAGCGAAGGAGGAGGAAAAAGTCTAGAAACCCGCCTACCAACAAATTCTAGCCTCGTAGGTTGTCATAGGGTAGTTATCTGAGGTTTCATGCCCGGAAATGTCGACAATGAGATTTCCGGGCCTTTTTTTCCTTTTTCTAGTGACGTTTAACAAATGCCGATTTTTTTTTGTGATTTTTTGTAGTGTTATTTGCTTGCAAGTACCACTTTTGAGAAATTTAGGAATTCTCTGAGCATATATATCTTGAACTATATCATACATCGTAAAGGTGTACTCCCTTATGCTAGTTGAGCCACTAATTCTTAAAGCTTGATCTCGATCTCCGGGAGGAACCCATATAGTCAAAAAAAATTATTGAAAATTAAAAGAAGGAAAAAGGTTGACTTTGAGAAAGTTATGGGAATAACGGATTCACTCGACTAGGGGCCTCTTCTTTTTTATGAGTCATTCAAAAAGAAAATGAAGAAGTCTCCTTCATATCTTTACTTACTTGCTGGGCCTCTCCTCTCTTTTAGAGGAAAGACCGCCTTGTGGATGGATGAGAGGATGCTCTTATGATCAGGACATCACAGAGTGGATAGGGAGGACCCCTTTTTGGAGTTTGGTGTTTTGCAATGAAAAATTACACTTGTAACGAATAGTCGAATCAAAAGGTAAGCTTGTGCACTTATCTAATATAGTTTTCCCAAAATGAAAGACTGAATACAAGATGACACCATGGTCCCATTTTGCTATATTAAAATATTCTTAGAGGTGGTTCAGTGGTTGAGTCGGATTTTCGTAACTCTGAGGCATCAGATTTAATTTCTTCTCATACTCTTTAAGGGTTAGTCATTTTTATCTTTTAGAAACATACTTTAATCCAACTCAAACTAGGATGGTTAGCCGTGTAAACCTAAACACCTTCTGTAGCCAAAAAAAAAAAAAAAAAAGAAAAAAAAGAAAACACTACTAACATAAATTATTACGATAGAGTTTCACCGAATATTGGTGGGATCCCTAGAAATTAACTGATAGAGTCCAATGAATCCAACAGTTAAAAAAAAATCTCGATCAAAATTGACAAAAATTAGAAAGAAGCATACGAATGCTCCTACCAACACAATTAATCAACTCTTTTCTAAGAATCGAAAAGAAAAAATTTCAATGTAATAAGGTTTACAATTCTTAGCACGCATTTACAACTTGATACAACATTATCACTTTAGATAATATTCGATTTGACTCACTAAGCGCACTAAAACTTGAGTCGATTTAAATTGAGATTCAAATAATAAACAACTTATAAACGGCATGAACCCAATCCAATACAAACCCGATTATCTACATCACAACCCATTGCCAATCTTGATGGACCAACGAGGGCAGCATGTTGAAGAAAGAATCGTTGAATGTTTAAGGAAAGTTCATTAGAATCTCGCGTAGATTTCATTCTCCTAGAATGTAGACTACTTTCTCCCCGACTTTCAATAGACAGTGGCTGTTTATAGAAATCAAATATCAGCAAATATTTGGTTTCTAATCACAAACAACCAATTTCTTAATTATTCACCAAAAAAATTTCTTTTCTCAATTTAACCCAAAGACTCAAATTTCTTCTTCACTCTCTGCTAAAATGTTCCTCAGCAATGGAGAATCATGATGAACCAGTAATGGGTTATCTAGTAAGGTTAGTCATCATTCCATCGGACGATGACCTCTCCGTCCAGCAAAACTCTGTTGTTCCGGCCAGTGCTCATTCTCTAGCCATAGAATCTCCACCTACATATAACGAAGAAGAGCTGCCTTGCATGGTAGTTCTCCAACGGATAGTTACGCTCATTGCTATAATCTTAGTCGTTCTATTCTCTCGACAAAACCCACCAAAATTTCGAGTCAGTTCCATCACTGTATCGATATTTAAACCACCGGCGTCTCGGTTAACGACAAACGTCAGTTTCTCTATTGAAAACCCTAACAAGATGGCTACCATATTCTATGATGAAGCTTACCTTAGAGTTTTATCTAATAATTCAACTATTTCTTCCACACCCATCTCGCCTTTTCATCAGTTTAGATCAGCAGAGATACTGCTGAAGGCAAATATTGAAGCACCATTGTTGTCCATTAACAAGTCTGTTGCAGAAGCCATTGATGCTGCTAAGAAAAATGGATCTGTGGTGGAGTTTACCGTGACAGTGGATGCATGTGTGAGGGTTCAGCTTGGTTCCTTGAGGTTGAAAAGTGGAAAGATGAGGGTTACCTGCGAGGAAGTTAAGGTAAAGAGTAATACTAGATGTGCTTAAAAATTAGACTTGATAATTTTAACCATTAAATAGGTAGTGGATCTCAATAAATGCTGGAACTCACAGTAAAATCAATGGTTGAGATTATCAAGTCTAATTTTTAAGTCCACGTAACATTACTCTAAAATAAAATTTTCTACAAATACAACGGTAGACAGATTGTCTAACCTCTAAGTTTAGGGTTTATAAGGCTTTTTAATTTAATTTTTTATTTTTATGGATTCTACTTCCTATTGTTATTGTACTAGAATTAGGGTTTTTTGATGATGTAGTACATGACTGGAGCTTATATGATTGTTTAATTCATTCGAAGTGTATGATCCTCAAAATTGATACACCAAAAATGTTTTTGTGGTCATCCTTGTCACATAGGGTGTGATCTGATATTTGTATGGGGCAATGCTGTTTGTACTTAATTTAATTATTTATAATTATTGAACTGATAATAGTCTCTAATATTTCTTAAAATCCATTACTAATTCAATTAGTTAGATCCACAAACTATCTCCAAATAATATTATAGCTTGTATAGTAATGAGATTTGGACAGGGTCGGCCCAATAAAAATTGGGGCCATAAGCAAATGTTTTTTAAACAGGCTTTTGAAATTTTAAAAAATAAAACATTAAATTAGGTTAGGATGCCTTCTTTAATGTGTAAGCTAATTTTAGTGTTAGCAAATTTTTAATACAAAAAAAGTCTTTCAATTTTTTAAAAAACTTACATGCGAGTCTCAGTGTTAGCACAAATGTTAATAAATTGATTAGTTACTAATTTTTATTATTTATTTTACCCTCATTACATAATTTTTAGTCAATTGAATGCAAACAAATCACTAAATTAAGTAAAATTTATCGATAATCACTCTCTTCCCTACCTGGAAAGTAGGTCATCTTCTTTTCTATAGATACGGTAGGGTAACTTGTGCATGAAGATATGATGCAATATGAATGATTTTAAGAGAGATATTAGTGGTCATTGAATAAGTTTATTTGAGACTGATGAATAAATTTATTATATTATAAATTACTTTCTATCTTGAACTCCTCTTCCATTTATAGTCGTCATTCGTATCAGTCGATCAGTTTCACATTGAATCGTGGTGGAGGCTGACACCTGCATTCGTATAATCTGCTCATATAGATATACATTTTCTATACTGGTTACAGCACTAAAAACCTAAAGGATACTTTTATTTCTATAAATAATAAAAGTAAACAACTTCTATATATATTTTTTTGGCACTATATTAATGATCTGTATTTTAGTATATATGTCAGACCATTTGTGTCTATGGCAAAAAATGTACATTAATGATCATATTTTAGTGTATCTGTCTGACGATCTTTTTTTATGGAGAAGACGATATATTAACGATCTGTATTTTAGAGTATCTGTTTGATAATTATTATGTATTTATTATTTATTATTTTTTTGTGTACTTATTTATTTTTATATTTTTTTATTGCGTACTTCTTATTTTTTATTTTTTATTTTTTATTGCGTACCCATTATTTTTTTGGCTTGAAGATATATATATATATATATATATATATATATATATTGTGTACCTATTTTTTTTTTAGTACACCTGTCTAACAATTTGTGTTTATGGAGAAAAATATACATTATGATGGCATAATTTTTTAAAATAGGTGTTTAAATTAGGTAATGATGTTGTGTTATTTTTTACAATTGTAAAGGACTCTGGTTATATTTATTACTTTGACTTTTCAGTAGGAACTTAATTTAAAAGAAAATTAGAGAGCGAATATTTTTTTAAATCCTATTGAGGCCAGGGACCGGCCTTCAAATCTCTCTCCAAAAAAAAAAAAAAGAATGTATAAATAATATAGTTATAATTAGAAAAAATTTCAGCAACACCTCTCCTAATTTACTATATTTTCAAGGACACCCCATTTATTATAAAAACAGTACTTTTTTTTTGGGGGAGGAGGGATAGGGACTTAAACCTTTGACCTTAAGTAATTAATGCCTTCACAAAGTAAGGAGTACCATTAGACCAAAGGCCCATTGGTATCAAAAATATTACTGACACCCTTTCTAGTTTATATCTAAACATCACTAACACCCCCTACCATTTCTAACAAAAAAATTCATCTAAAATACAAAAAATGCACATACATAAACCTCAAGTAATTTTTCTACATAAAATTTTATTAAAATTCGAGTCGATTAAAATTTATTTTTTACATATTAAAATTTGAAACCAATTAAAATTCGATTGAAGCTGATTAATTTTTTTTTACGTATTAAAATTTGAGCCGATTTGAACTCTACCCTAGTTGTTAGCGCCAATTAAAATTTGCTTTCGCATCGATTAAAATTTATATCGTTTTACTTATTAAAATTCTTGTCAATTAAAATTCGATTTATTAAAATTTGAGTAAATTAAAATTTATATTTTTTTATGTATTAAAATTTGGGTTAATTAAAATTCAATGCGAGTTGATTAAAATTTGATTTGACTCGATTAAAAATAATTTTTAATTGGCTCAAATAGAATTTTAATTAATCCAAATTTTAATAAAAATATAATTTTTAATCGGCTCAAATTTTAATATCTAAAAAAATAAATTTTAATTAGCTTGAATCGAATTTTAATCGGCCCAAATTTTAAAACGTAAAAAAAAAATTAGAAAATAGAGGGGGTCTCATTGAAGATATGCTTATCTAGAGGGGTGTGGATGAAGTTTGTTCTCAAATATATCATGGACAATTTAGTAAAATTGAATTTTAGTTAATATTTTTAATTTAACAGGAGTGTCAGTGAAGATTCAAAAAATAGATGAGATGTCATTGAAGATATAATAAATTAAAAGGGGTGTGGTTGAAATTTTTCCTTATAATTTTATACAAAAGTCGTGCTTTTTTCTATGAAACAAAGATTGAATAAGTTATTCATATTATCCATTTAAAATGATATCTGCATGAAACTTGAATATTAAAAAAAAATAATAAGTAATTTTGCATCACAAGTTAAATATAATGAGTTTTAACTTCAAAATATTTCTTTATAGAGAAACAATTGTTACGAATATTATTAATAATATTTTATTTGAAATACATGCATTGGAAAAAATTTAGCCTCTTTGTATTGTTTAGTATTTCAATTAAAGTGTTAGTTTCTTTTAATGAAATTTCTTTTAAGATTCTAATTTTGAAAACAAATCTAACCCACTAATATAAAAAACTTGATCATGTTTTAAAAAAATTGTTAAATAAAGGCAATTTATTCAAGATTAATCTAAAAAATTATTAAACCAACAAAAGGCTATACTAAGATAAAAATCTAATACATTAAAAACTTTAAAAATAACAAGTTAATAGAAGATAAAATTTTATTAGTGACCAGTATATAAATTTACATTGTCTTTCAAATGACCTAATGATAATAACTTTCATAGTATAATAAAATTTGAATTGAATTAAATTAAATTACATTCATAAAAAAATATAACATGAAAAAGCAATCATCGAATAAAAAAAATCCATGTGATCTAGGATTAGCATATGGGTATAGTGGTTTAAATTGACAGAGTGATAGTAAAAATTAAACAAAAAAAAAAAGGAGAGAGAGGGATCGGACTTATCACTTTGAAGCATTTTTACGGTCATTAGTTTATTAATTTTATGAAAGTTGTATTTTCTTTATTCATCTTTGTAGGCAGCGACAGGTTTGCGTGGGTGTGTGTGTGTGTGAGAGAGAGAGAGAGAGAGAGTGAATGAATTGGTTGGCAACTATATGGAAGATCGCATTAATACAGTAATACAGAAAGATGAGTTTTGGACTTTTTGTGTAGGTATGATATTGTTGGGCCCAATACTTTAAGGGCCGGTACCTTTTTTAGAAATTATAGGATAAAAAATATTATTTTTAAAAATATAGGTCAAAAAATACACAACTCCTAACAAATTTCTAAAATACCCTCTTCAGTAGAATGAGAACCGATTCCTATATTTTTACTTTCACGACCGAAACTTAATGGATCTCAACAGTTACACATAAATTCGTTTAATATCGCCGGAAATCTCATTCTTCCAAAAACTTTCATAAAATCTCTTTTTGGATGTTCAAAATTTTATGTTAATCGTTGTTGAAGAAATGATATTTTCAAAATTTCATTAGTCAAATCTTCACCTTTGTAACAGAAGGATAGAGAAGGATGAGATTGGTTATAAATTTTTTTAGTAGCGAAAAACCAACTCAATCACACGATCTTGGATATGGATTGTAATCCAATTCATTAACATCTCTTGGTTACATTAAAGGGCAAAGTGGTTTTAGTAAAGGGTCCATCTGGGTGAGAACAATTTAGATAAGGGTTTGAATGGGAGTGGTTGTAGCAGAAGGATGGAGAAGGGTGAGAGTGGTTGAATTTTTTGAAAAAGAAGTTGATAACTCAAGAAAAATATTGTTTCTCCCAATGTTTTTATTTTATTTACTTTTTTTCTCTCAATTACCTTTCTACTTTTAGTGCTTGGTACTACATGCACACCAAATATTCGATCATTTGCCAAAAAAAAAACCAAAGAGCCTATATACATTGTGATATGCGTCATGCCAATATATGCAATGTGACATTGACTTGTAATAATGTGACATTGGTTTCTAGTAGTGTGAATTTGGTTTGTAACACTGTGACATTTTTTTAGTACCAGTGTAATATTGTCTTGTAGCACTGTGACATTATCGTGCGAAGTAGCAAATCATTATTTGAATCAGAATCATCATTTTGATAATTACGATCATCCCCATTTGAGTTATCATCATTGACATTTATCCTCACATGAACGTGATTGACATTAAGAGACCATTATGATATTTTTTTTAAAAAAAATATGTGAACGACATTGTAGCAGTGTGAATTTGATTTTGTAGCAGTGTGACATTTTTCTAGTATTAGTGTGACATTGTCTTGTAGCATTGTAACATTATCGTGCAAGACAACAAATCATCCTTCGAATTAGAATCATCAT